AAAATTTGGCATCTCACATGTACATGTATAGCAGCCTGGTTTGAATAAAGAGTCCTAGACGTGTAGTTATATCTTTGAGAGCTTCTCAGTATTTTTTTAATCAATCTCCACAAATCAGAAGATATTTTTGTCACGCTAAAGAGGTATCATATAGGTTACAAACAATGTTACAGAAAGTTGTAAGGTTGCAATGTATTCTTCAACACATCTAGGGACTCTCTTTATCTCCATTAAACTGAGCTGTTCATTTTACTGTAATGGATGGTTTCGTCTAATTATGTTCTTCTCTCACTTCAAATCTCTAGTCCGGAGCATCCTTCATTTCGAGCACGTGCCCGGTCTATGCTTAGTGGTGATACGAAAACATTCAGAGATTATTCAGATGATGTTGCTTCATCAAGGTATTGAATTCTGGTCTTGTTTTCAGTTTCCTATGAGTTTTTATCAGTATATCAGCAAAACATTGACATGCATAAAACACTCAAATTGTTCTTTTTGTTCCTGCCGTTATTTTTGGTTCATCTCACATGTTATTGCCCATTCATATTTAGGGTGCCCACTTCCCAGTTCACAATACTTTGGTTCATTCGCTTGAGTTGTCGATCAGAGAGGCTAATGTTGCTTAAAATGAACTGCTGAATGCAATATTTTTATGTTAATTAAGCATGTTTTCTGCAGAAGACACAAGTGCATACCTCAGCAGCCACCTCATATGAAAATATTTCTGTTGATGAAATTCCATTAAGTTAATAGTGTCTTCAAACATGGATCTTTGCCTTCCTAATCAGTTGTCTTAGCTACTAATTTTTGATGAAAAGGCTTAATAGCTATTGAGGATGGGTTTTTGCATAGCTGATAGAGTTAGTACAAGAGTGCATATGAATACTAATCTAGGATTTCAGTGTGTTGGTATTTGGTTCTATTACCGTTGTAATTTTTTATAAATTATTCCAAACTTATAAGATACAATTTTGTCAATATTTCCCCTTACTCGATAGCTATTATTTGTTCTTTAAAATATTTGATGTAGTAATTATGTTTCTTAAGACTCTAATTTGGAAGTGTTTTGATATTACTTCGATAATGATGACACATTTCAGTTTACAAATCATTAAAGCGAAAAAGAACAGATTGAACAAATATAAGTCCTTTGTAGTGGAACTAATAAGACGTAATAATTGACTTGAGATGGATGGCGATTAGTTTCTTGGTAGAAGAATTTTGAGTACTGGGTGTTCCATCCTATGTCTTTTTTACCTCATCTTTTTGTGGAGCGTCTCAGAGTAGAGTTATAATGTTGCATAATTTCTCCCTTTAAAATGGGATAATGGTCTAAACTCTGTTCATCTTTAGTCTATATGACACAACCATTACCTTTTGATGTTTTATGGGATGGGTAACCAAGAGTTATATATATTTATGTGAGTTAAAATTTCCATAATCTCTTCTCTTCTAATATATGCACGCTCTTTAAATTTACCTGTTTAATAGTGGATCGACTTGTGAAGACTTTTGAGCATAATAAACCTTCATCATTGTCAGAAAATTTGCTGAATTTTGACTATTTCTATCCACAGGTCAGAAGGAGCATCTACATCTGAACCACGTAGGTTACGAAGAAGAAGTATTAGTATTACTCCAGAAATTGGCGATGACATCGTAAGGTAGATATTGTAATAATATGATCATCATCATAAATGTCTTCACTCGTAGTTTATAGGCGCGCGCATCTTTTTGGTATTAATTTGCACAAGTGAGAATTTATTTGATGCTAAATTGCGTTATTATCTATCTTTCGTGATATATTCCAAGAATGTTAGTAAGCACCTTATGTTTTCTGTACGAAAAAAAGAACTTATTGCTTAGAACTTGTGCCTGGATATAGGTGTACTTCATCACAATATGGACACTGTCAGAAATATTGCTAAGAAGACTTAGCAACCAATTCCTTCTTTAACTTATGCCATTTTTTGTGTCATGCACGAAACCAGGGCGGTTCGAGCAATGAATGAAGCAATGAAGCAGAATCGAAGAGAACAAGGGGAAAATAGCTCATCCCCCCATTCTTCAAATGACAGAGGCGGGGCATTGGATCTTCAAAAAAATGTATGCTACCGTTTCTCTCTGGTTTTGAGGTTCCTAATACTTTGATGTCTTTCACTCTGGAAATAGTTGAGTTTTGTTTCCGCCTACCGGTTCAAATGAGCGGCAGTATACACTCTTGTTGAATTTTTTTCTCGATTCTGTGGCTGTCTTTTTCTCTAGGGATCTTTCACTCTCTTAATTTCGCTGTAATGAAGTTGCATACGAGTATCTTTTGGAGTTGTTTTCCTCTTAATAAATGAATGTTATAATCTTAGTTCATGGTGAAAAATAATGGGAACTCTGATTATTACAATATTCTATCTTAACCCTAATTGAATTATACGAAACAGTATTTGATGGATTGTCTCTTTTCTATTTCTTTGTGTTGGCCAAACGATTTGTATTTTAGGTGTCTGATTTTCACCATGACGACCCTGATATATCGGGTGGACAGTCTTCCATGTTTGCATTGTCAAGAGAGCACATGAGCTCCCAGAAGGCAATATCATTACCCTCGTCTCCCCATGAATTCAGGAGGCAGGCTCTGGAAGGAAGGGGGCAGATGAATGACAAAATGGTCTCAACCTGGAATAGGATTTTGGAATCGCCGATGTTCCTGAATAAACCTCTTCTACCTTTTGAAGAATGGAATATAGACTTCTCTGAGTTGACTGTTGGCACTCGTATTGGGATTGGTGAGTTTATTTTAAATCATTTTTTCAAGTAGCACTGTTGTATTTTATGCTTCATTTTTTTGTTTTAAAATCATTTGGTTACACTTATTGCTTTAGTACCAACTATTGAGTCCACAATGAGCTGATTTGAGACTGTTGTCATTGCTCCTTGGGCTTAGCCTGCCAACTATTATACTAATACTGATTGATCATGCTCTGTGAACTTTGATGAGTGAGAAGCCTTGGTTAATGTTTATCATAATGTGTTTGATCACTTTGTGCTTTGAGTTTGGTATAGAAAACAGCTTAGATTTTCCACTTTCATCAAGCTATCCTAGGAAGGTGGTTACAGGGACTTTATGCAAAGAGCAGGCTCTGAGAAGTATAGATACAATGTAATGGTCTATAGAGTTGGTTATTTATGAGGTCACATCATCATACATAATAGTTTGTGGAACTGCATAATGAAAAGTAGTTCATTTTCTCAAAACTATGGGCTGTAAGGAATAGGAACATAATACGGTTTTGGCTTGATATACGGTGTGGTCAACTACATCGAAAAGTGAAGCCCTTTATCTATTTTCCGCAAAGCCTTTTTAGCTACAAAAATGTTTTTTTTGGGGGTGGTGTGGGGTGATTAGTTATTTTGGTAATGATTTTCAAACCGTTTTCTGGAGAATTTATATCGCAAGATTTCTTTGGAAATCATCAAAGGCACCTAAAAAGTGGCGTGCTTTGTGGGGAGTCCTATTGGCGGCAATAACTTAGGAAGGAGATAATTGTAACTGGGTGGTGTTGTTCATGTAAGGAGCATGGGTAGACTGTTGGTCACCTTCTTTAGTTGTAGGTCCAACCCATACTTATGCTTTCTGGCAGGGATTATACTATATTAAACATTTGGTAGATGCTCCCAACTCCCAAGAACAATAGCAGATACATGTCTAGTGGTAAGAGCGCAATACTTGTATTTATGGAATGAGGAGGAAATTCCATGATGTATAGATAGATTGTTAGAATTATAGGAGGCTTACCTTTGTTCAGTTGAACACTATCTTAGTTCACCAACAAAAGGTACATGATGTATAAGCAAAAAAGATCAAATGGAGTGCGCATTGGAGACAATGCGATACCAGGGAATGGTGTTATGCCTACACCATATAGAGAGCAAACTGTCTTACAGCATTAGATCCGAAAAGATGTATATGATGTGGATACACATAGAGCTAAAGAATTAAAATGAGAAACATAATAAAGTTAGGTTCGCTACTAAAAAATTTAGAAGTCTTCTACTTAAATATATCTTCAAAGTGATCAAGGTCCAAATATATGCTTTCCTATGTTCTGTTGATCTGCATTTTCTTCCACACTCTGAATATGTATTTGGGAGTTTGAGGTCTAAACAATCTGGCTATATTTGCAGGATTCTTTGGAGAAGTTTTTCGAGGAATTTGGAATGGAACTGATGTTGCGATTAAAGTTTTCCTGGAGCAAGATCTTACAGAGGAAAACATGGAGGACTTCTGCAATGAGATCTCAATCCTTAGGTATTGTGTCTTTCTAGGATTGGGCAAATTCCTTTTGGCTTCGAAATGTTCTAATAAGTTTTTCTTTCTTTTTGCTTTCTCAGCCGCCTTCGGCATCCAAATGGTATTTCTCTTCTCTTTCCCTTTTCACGTATTGGCTTTTCTTTCTTACTTGGCTCTATAATATTGCTCCTTCCTTTCACGGTTGCAGTTATATTGTTTCTTGGTGCATGCACAACGCCTCCTCATTTGTCGATGGTTACTGAATTCATGGAGATGGGATCTCTATATTTTTTGATCCATTTAAGTGGTCAAAAGAAGAGAGTTAACTGGCGGAGGAGACTCAAGATGCTTCGTGACATATGCAGGTTGGTTTGTTGTTGGTCTTTGGTGTTGCAAGATAACTTGGTGGTTCTTAACGCTTTTTAGTGATTCTCTTTTCTTTTATCTTTTAATTAATGCTCCTGTAAATTTTTTGTTTAAAGCATCAATGAATGTCCAGGGGTCTCAAAACACAAAATGATATAGCAGGAAAGCTCTTTAAATGTAACTTGAAAAAAATGATTTGATATATTTGGTAGGTATTCTAATAATACCCGCATTCTCTTTTGCATGCCTTAGTACAGACTTGTGATGCTGATTGTTTAAATTTGATCCATCTTTGTTTCTGCAATTAAATAATCTGTTGCATGATGAAGTTCCATGTCCTTCCGAGACATTCTTTTTCTATGAATGCTGATTACAATCCCTTCAACACATGTTAATTACATACAAACCATGTAATTTTTTTTTTATTACATAATGCTTCAAAAGCTTCTACATAAAATACCTCAACCATGCTTCTACTTTTATATTTCTCAAGGACGGGATTTATGATTAGTTTCTTGCTTCTGTTGGCAACTAAGAGGGTTGATGTGCATGCATCGGATGAAGATAGTCCATCGTGATCTAAAAAGTGCAAACTGCCTTGTGAACAAGCACTGGAGTGTCAAAATATGTGATTTTGGGCTCTCGAAAATAATGACAGATGCACCTATGAGAGATACTGCAGCAGCTGGCACTCCTGAATGGATGGCTCCAGAGCTCATCCGAAACGAGTCTTATACAGAAAAATGTGACATTTTTAGTCTTGGCGTGATAATGTGGGAACTTTGTACCCTAGAAAGACCATGGCACGGTGTACCACCAGAGAGGGTACGCTATATTTAACCTCTCCTTTGTTATGGTTAATTGTTTTTTCTTATGTCTTGGAAGTTAGTGTCTTATTTCCACATGGCTACATCAAGTAACAACTGCCTTGTGCCCATTTTCAGGTAGTTTATATTGTTGCCAATGAAGGATCAAGGCTAGAGATACCTGAAGGACCCCTTGGCCAACTAATTGCAGGTATTTCTGGCGTAATGTATAACTAAATGCAATGGACCCATGTATTTCACCGTTCTTCTGTTCGTCTCCATAATGTTCTCCTTTTTAGCTTTTTGACGTCCCTGACTCATCGTTTTTTTCATTTCAGACTGTTGGGCTGAGCCCAACGAAAGACCAAGTTGCGGGGAAATTCTCACCCGACTGGTAGAGTGCGAGTATTCACTCTGTTAGTGCAATCTGTTTTGTCTGTACAGAAAAAACATGGTAGAGGTGTTAACAATGTCCGGCTCAAGTTGTAGTAACTGTGTGATTTTCCAGTTTTAGAAAAAATATCGTGTATGTAGAAATATAGTTGAAACGTTCAGCCTTTTTGTGAAATCAAATGCAGAGTTCGTTTACCTAATATTCTACAATTCCACTCCTTGCAAGCAGAACCGGGACCCAAATTTGATTTAGCGATCATCCTCCTCTTTATCCCAATTTGAGCAAAGTGCAGCAGTGGTCAATGCACAAAACCATAATGCATATATAGAGATCTGGATATTTAATACATTATCTGACTAAATAAAACTCTTTGAGGCACTGGACATGGGATAATTGTGTCGACATTTTGCTCCTTGCATCAATCAGATATCAGGCGCCTGTTTAGGGCAGCTTCAAAGCGGCTCAAGGAGTCTGCCCTCATCTCTGTACTCATGTCATTCTCAGGTGCGGGATAGTAATCTTCTCTCAGTTGTACATCTCTTAAGTTCGGGATCCTAAGAAAGAACATCATGAAATGTTCATGTGCTGTTCCATGGATGAAGAGTTTTCTGAGAGTGACACATTCTTGTAGCAGCCCAGCTGCTGGTAGGGATAGACACCTTTGGTTAACGTCCCTATCTTGTGGTGGCCAGTAATCAAGTTCAGTAAGGCTCAAATTTCCAATCCCAAACAGATAAAACCTTTCCCACAAGCTCAAATCCATCTGCCCTGATGGTGCGGTGTGTGCATAACCTATGGTATCTCCACAATCCAAATGCATCTTGGATAGCATAGGATAGTATAGAAGAGTGCTCAGTCCAAATTCTCGCCCCGAAGGTTTTGACCATAGCCTGCAATCTCCTTCCACTTTAATGTTGATCTCTTCTAAGTTAGGACAGTCTTCAAGACCTGCAGCTGTTAAAGGAGTCAGAAGTTCACCAACCTCAATCCAAAGAGAGAGGGATTGCAGCTGATCCCATGATCGTCCACTATATCCACTAGCATGGCCATTAACTTCCTCATACTTGCATCTTTTCTGTTGTTTAAACATGAATGCATCTTCCTCGCATTCAAATGTGTCCCCAGAACCAGCAGAGTTGCTTGATGCCTCACCTCCATCATTCACATTAAGATCAAACCCGTATCCATAACCATCAAGATCTTCAAATTCTTCAACGCTATCCCACACACAATCAATGTGAAGCCTTTGGATCCGTTCTTGTATTGGCTCCAATGCTTTCAATGAATAAGAGGCTCCAAGATTCTTGCAGCAAGATATCTTGACATCAACCAACGTATTCTTAAGCAAAGAAGCTAGTGTCCTCATGCCCCTCATAGTAATCTTTTTACAACCTTGAATCTCAAACTTGGTTAACCTCGAACACCCTCTACCGATAGCTATCAAACCCATATCATTCAAGTCCCCCACATTCCTTATGGACAACGATTGAAGCCCTTCACAAAGAGCCACTCCGTCCAACTTTGATTCAATTGGCATAGAAACACCATGGAATTGCCCCAACTTCAACGATCTCAATTTGGGGCATTTCTTATTCAAAATTTCCAACGCAGAACCGGTGTCTCTAACATTATTACAAACATCTAAAACAAGCTCTTCAAGTATTGGAAGACCAGAAAATACCTCAATCAAAGTTGAAACACTAAACTTTGCGTCCTCTTGAGTGAACCCCTCATCATTTCGATCACCCCTAGCGTTTGACAAAGCTGAAGTATCAGCCAAATGAAGCACTGATAATTTGGGACAATTGTTAGCTATAGAAACCAAACCTTCATCACCAACAAACCCAATGTACCTGGGATCAAACATACAAGCAACACGAAACTCCTTCATATTGGGGCAAGCTCGCGTTATCGAGCTAATCTCATCAGACTTAAACCCTTCAGGAAAACTCGAATTCAAGAGATTTAAGCTCGTGAGATTAGCTGCAACTGCAGGATGAGATTCAAGTGCGACAGGAATATCATCTGTCCAGCAGTAAAAATTGGACAAATCTAGCGAATGAAGCTTTGGGAAATTCTCTGTAAATAGCATATTGAGCTCCTCCCCAGCTGATAATTGCGGACGCTGATGCCATCGAACAAGCTTGATTTCCTTGAGGTTTGGCCATAACGGAGGCAAGATCCTTAGGGTACACGGGTTGCGCGTGTACAGAACAAGGGAAGTGATGGACGGAAACGCGTGGTGGAGGAGTTGGGCGATTAAGAAAGGGTCAGCAACGGCGGTGGGGGAGAGGAGTGGATGACCCCAAGGTGAGATAAGGGAGAGGTCAAGGTGAGTAACGGATCTGAAGCAAGTGGGTAACATGAAGAGGTCACGGACGTTGCCACGGAGCGTGAGGGAGGAGCGCGTGGAACGTTCGAGGACGAGCCATTTCCGGCAGACGAGGGAGGTGGAGTTGCGGCTGCGGACGTCCGAGACGGCGGCGATGATGTTGGAGAGGATGACATCGGGGAGGTCGCTAATGGTGGTGATACAAGTAAGCTGTGCAGCCATTGATAGGCTTTCAGTTTGGGAACAGTTAGAATTTTTGGGTTGTTGTAATTGGGAAGGTTTTGGGAAATTGGGTTTAAGAGTTTGAGATGGGGATGAGGGTTGTGTACATATTGATAGTCATTTTTTCTTTTCTTTTCTTGTCCGATGTTCGGTATTTATGATGTTCAGTATCTACTGTCGATAATTGATATTTGTTATTTGTGTTAATAGTTTAACATTCTGTTTGGATGGTTGTTATGTATTGTTTTTTTGTCGTTATATATTGTCATACATCAATAATATTAGGGTACGAGATAGAATTACTAACAAAACCTAGAACTGAATTCAATCTCTGTTAGCTACTCAATCATTAGGTGATTTGTCTAGTACAAGTTACATTTCTTATGAAATATTTTGAATGATTGAACTGTGAGCAGGTTATACTCGCCACAAAGTACTTCCTTAGGGTTTCAAAAAATAATACTAAATAAAAACAAAATATTAAGATAACGACACGATCATATCAAATTAATCATTACAAAATAAGACTTTTCATCTTACCCAAGAATGAGGTTAAACGATATAATACAATAATAAAAATTAAATAATAATCAAAATAAATACTATATAATATTTAAACTAACAATAACAACCATCCAAATAAGAGAAAAAATTACCGTCCAACATCTAAAATTGACACAATTTTAAATATGATATCCTATTAATATAAGTTTTTACTTTTTTTAAAAAATAAATAAATAAATTTGGGGCACTACTTTTGAATGAATAATGGAACTTTTTGGATATAAAAAAGTACAGACAACATTATGAAGTGGAGTAAATTTTATCCGAATTATCCTAAGGTATATTATAGAGGCAGTATATTCTTATATTAAAAAAATAATATATACTCAAAAACTTTATAAGGTGCACGAATGAGTATCAAATTGACTCCTAAACAGAATTTCTTTCTTTAATCAACTATTTCATATAAAGCTCCATTTATTATTCTGTCTTTACTTCTACAATGGAAAAAAGTCAAAAATATCTTTAAATTGTATGAAATGAACAAAAATACTCTTCATTTATAATCTGATTCAAAAATATTTTTGCTGTCAATATTTAGTTTAAACATACCTTTATTGTTATATAATAGGTTAAAAATAAGGAACCTCATTGGACCAAACTACAAACGTATGACAATTTTGTTCATTTGACCCTTTTTCGTCCCTAAAATATCCTAAAAGATTTTTGTGCTCTTATACTAATAACATACGTGTTAGTAATAAACATATAATTATTTATTTATTTTTTAATGAGAATGTGTAATAATAATGTACATCCAAAATTATTAGAAAAATATCGTGGCATTTTAGGATAGAATATAAGAAGAAGGATCTAAAACAGGAAACACAGTCTATTTATATAATACTCTCTTATCTAAAAGTGAGGGATTCTATTTGGATCAGATTTTTTAGGTATATTTTGGAGTCCTCAAATAGAATTGTCATATTGTCTTGATAACAATATGATATTCTTTTAAAAAAAATTAAATACTAATTGCATCGAATATTTGTGTTTAAAAATTATTTTGACTTAAAATTACTTGAAATAAGTCAATCCAAAATAGAGCTAAATCAACTAGTGTATTATTTTTGTTAGTTAAAAATTAAAATGTATATATATAAAATTGTAATTAGGTAATAAATAAATACTACTTTATTAATTTGATGTAACATGATGTGAATAATTTTTATTCCTTTTTACTGTTTTTGGTGTGTCCTCATAAAATATGTGGGTTTTAATTGGGAATAAAAGTCAAATATATTAAATTAAATTTGGCATTTTAGGATATGGGATATATAATCAGCTGTGAAATTGGACGTACTCCATTGTACAGCTATGGAATCCACTAACAAGGGTTGTGATGGATTGATAAATACTCCTTTACTTAAACTTTTAAAAGTGAGCATTTTAAATGTTCGTATCAAATAATTAATGAATCCTGGCTATTACAATTAGTTAAGTTAAAGTACCTAAACAATTTAGCAAATTTTGATACAATTGAAGTAAAAAATTTTAAATAATCATTCATGGAATGAATTGGAATTTTTGTATTTATTCAAATTTATGGTATCCACTATTTCTTGTGAGATCCATTTGTTAATTTTATAACCACAATTACAGGGTCGCTAAAGAAATGGAGTAAGTATAATAGTACATCTTATCCACATCTCCGTTTTTTTCTCTTTCATATATTCACGTATTGGTTGGTCCGTAGGATAAGATAGATATAATATATTATAAATTAGGATATTTTATAAAATTATTTTATCTTATTTTTAAATAATTAATTTTATTATTTATTATAGAGTAATAAAATAAAATAATTTTTATTATTAAACGCAAAACAAAATAATTATATAAACTACTATTACTATTTTAAAATAATTATCATTATCTACCAACCAAATGACCGGTTACATCTTCTAGTTTCTCTTCTTATCAAGTCATATCATGTAGTGCCTTTTGTCCCTTTCATAATCCAAAGAGAAAAAATAAGTACTAGCTTTGTCTTTTCCATTTCAATATTGTTCTCTTGGTTCTAAAATAAGTACTTATCATTTAAATTTTTATCTCTATAAATTAAACTTATATCTAATAGGCATAATTTTTGAAATATTATGACTTACGATATAAAAATATAAACTTATATTTCACAAAATAGTTATTTACTTTGAGGGGTAAGAATTTAAGACCAACACAAAATATGAGCAAAAGTGCAAATGACCCGACGTGACTAACTTTACCTAGGGAAAACTACCTTACTAGACATATATCCATATCATATATACTAATTCTATCTATACTTTCAAAAAATTATGTATCTTATTAGTATTTAAGAGTTTTTACCATATATTGAGAATGATACACCTAAATACATGTAACTTTCTTACTAGATACACTAAAATAGGCAGAGAATACGAACGAGATTTGTCTATATATTTCAGATATATGCGAATCTGTATCCAAAGTAAATTGACATCTAATTCTTACCTCAAGTATTCCGAGATATATGTATTTGGATGTATTTGGACGCATCAAAATCTAGTAAAATTCGTAATATTACAAACTAGAATATATCTAAATAATTAGTTTCTAAACTAGCGGAATTTCTAAAAGTTTCCCCTAAACCTATTCATTCATTTTTTTGGGCCCAATTCAAAATTAGGAAATGAAACCCAAAAACATTCAATTGGGCTTCAACTTCCAGTTAAAAGTGGGGTTCATTTCCCCAAATTTGAATTGTATGCATCTCCCGCCCTTGCCCTAATCGACACCACTCTCTGCCGGCGAACTCTTTTTCCGGCGAAATCGAGTTGTAAGTTTCCTGCATTTCTTCTTCTCCAGTAATTACTAGTTTTTGTTAGCTTCCATTTATGAATTGGTTTACTTTAATTTCTACTTGAATATGTTCTACTTTGGCAGAAATGAAATATGGAATTCTTCTTTGCTTTCTTTGTGATAATCGTTCTCTTCCACGTTATGTTCCCGGTTGATATATACTAGTTCAATTTTTTCAATTAACTGGTATGAGAGTCATGAAATCTCGGGTTTAATCCGTCCAAGCTTTGATGGACGGAGACGGAGTTATCCTGTATTTGTGCCGGTAGGAGATAGCAAGTATCTTGTGAAATTAGTCCAAGTGTGTGCAAGCAAGCATGTACTCCACATTTATAAAATAAAAATGGGTTTGAAGTCAAATTTTGCATATCATAGCAAATTTTGAGAAATAATGTTATGGAAGAAGGGGACGAAGATGTTAAGGCCTTAAAAATGGATTTTTTGTTTCCATATTGCGAGTTATCAGCCCTTCGGAAAGGAAATGTTGAGTTTGATAAGTCGTTTACTAAATATTTCTACTTTCTGATTGTGATATAATTCTGCAGGCATAATTTGATTGAGTGCTATAATCATGGCAAAGAATCTCATTCAGAGGCCTCTTATCTTTCAAGATGAAAACTCGGATATATACTTCAAAAGTACGATCTCATTTTACTTGTCTATCTGAAAGATTTGATAAACTGTGCAGCTAAGCTTACTGATGTTTTTCATTAATTATTTGTAGAGGGTGTGATAACTGGCAAATCAAAGAGTGGTAAACCTGAAGCTGTTAAAAAAGGTACTACAGGGCTTAAAAGTCGTAATCCCCTCAATGATATCACGAACAAATCAACTGCTCTTTCTGAAGAAGCAGCAAAGAAAAAGAGTTCACAGAAGGAGGTTAAAGTTCCAAGTGAGCTTAACATAGCAGAGGAGACATTTCAACATGATCACAAAAAATGTGTCGAGGCACAAAGTTCAGGATTGACGCGAAAACATTTCATGGAATTGGTTCTGCCTGGTTGTGGTAATTTCTTCTTTCTTCTGGGATGTGAATTCAGTTCCAATCTGTTAACATAATGGCTCACCTACTGACAGGCCCAACAAGTAACACAACCTTAATCATTATTATAGTTTCTAGCTACAAATTGTTATCGATATTACTTGGATAAGTTTTATTTCTTCAAATTGTCTGTTGATTGGATTGTGATTGCTCCATTATTTGGAAAAGACATAGTTATTCGATGCTGAAAATGAGTATTGCATTGGTGCAATATGATAGTCACCGCTATTTTCCTTTATACATTTTTTGCTATACATTTATCATACTTTGAATCCAATAAGATACTCGAAGAAAACCTTATAGCACATTTTTTCCTGCTGCAGATTCAGCTTCTCACATTGACATACCAAAAACAGAAACGGGAATGGTGAGTCTAGTACTTCATTCTTCTGCATTTTCACACGGATAAGTATGGTCTTGAAGAAAAAAATCTGTAAGGGTTGTAGTGATCTCATACGACTAATTTTTTTGGCTCAACAGAGTGATAAAGGAATTGATAACTCACACTGCTATCCCGTGCCAGAAGAATTGTCTATGTCAGAGTTCTCTTGGTTGAGATCTTTATGGGATCCATCTTCTCCCAAGAAGATGGATTCTCCACCCTCCTCTCCTTCCGAATGGGCGTTTGAGCCGGTTGAATTTACACTCAATGAAGAAAAAGATTGCTGAAATGGCTAATGAGCTGCTCTATTTAGTCGATGACATGTATATGATATTAGGTAATTAACAATTCTAAATTTGGCACTAGTAATTCAACAGTTATGGAGTATATTTATATTTCAGCTTAGACTTGTCTGAAATTAGTTTGGGCTAAGTAGTGTGAGTTTGTAATCTGAAATGACATTTAAGTATGTGTGAATTCATGATGGTTAGTTCTGAATTTTGCCCAATGCATGAACCTTTTTGTGTTTATGCATGGTTCGGAGAAGAGCCTCTCCCAAGTGAGGGGTAATGTAGGCAGCTTACCTTGGACAAGATATTAGTGATTGATTCTACGATTCGAATCAGTGATCTGTTGGTAGAGACAACTTTACTTTTACTTCAAGACTCCTCTTAATTTTCGGCATACAATATTGGTGCACTTGTGGTGATACAGTATACAAAGTCAATATCCAATATAATTGTTTACGTAAATCTATACTAACAAACATAAACCTGTCCCTTTTAACTTTTAAATTTTATTTCTAATCAAATAATATCACATAAATTGAAATAGAGTGAAATATCATTCGTGCTGAAACTTATACCACTATTATTTTACTTTATACGTCAAACCAAATGATCTAAGTAAATTATTCTTAGATACAACATTGATGCAAAACATACTACTACTACTAAATACTAATCAACCATTATGATTAAATGAACGTAAAAAAACAGAAAACTACTACTACTAATCAAGTACTACATGATTAAATGAACGTAAAAACATGTGGGTAAATAAGTTGGTGCCAGTGAAAAACCACTTCTTTATTCCGGTGGGAGTTTGCACTTTTTTTATTTCCTATTGGATGTTTGGTATTTGTATTAGAGTCGACTAATTCAGATTCACACCGAATAGGCTCCATTTGGATAGCCTTTTTATTAAGAATTTTTTCATATCCAGAACTCGAGAGAATTTGAATTATTATCTCCACAAAAATTAATAAAATTGTTTTCTCTTTCCCTCCAAAAAAAGGTTATAGCAAAGCCCATTAGCTCAAAATCTCAAAATCCAAACAGTCCCTTACATACCACTACAGTCTACACCCCACCTTCGTCGGCGCCCAATGTTCCGTCGACACAACCATACTGCTAACCCCTCACCGATCACTTCTTCTAACCCTAATTCCTCCACTATTTTTCATTCCTCCGCCGCCGACGCTGCCGCCGTTCCACATTCCGGTACCATGTCCGACGACGACCACTTAGCTCCTCCCTTCTCCAATAACAACTCTCCATCTCCGTCGCATTCGAGGTCTCCGCCGCCGTGTAGAGACAACAAGCTACTAGCACTGCCTCCACCTCCGATGCTTACGCCGGCGTCGGTGTCAGCTCGGACGCCGGTTTTTCCAGCTCGAGAAGATTGCTGGTCAGAGGCGGCGACTCATACGTTGATAGAGGCATGGGGTTCCAGGTATGTGGAGCTTAACCGGGGAAATCTCAGGCACCAGCACTGGGAGGAAGTCGCCGATGCTGTCAACACAGTTCACGGCCATACCAAAAAGCAGTATCGTACGGATATACAGTGCAAAAACCGTATTGACACCTTAAAGAAGAAGTATAAGATTGAGAGGGCTAAAGTATCTCAATCCCCCGGCCGTTATATTTCCACTTGGCCTTTCTTCAGCAGCCTCAATGTTCTCATTGGCATCACCGCGAAAGTTTCGCCACCGCCGGCGGCGGCAATATTACCTCCTCAACGGAGAATGCCGCCTACGCAGGCAACGTCACCTCTTCAATGGAGAGCGCCACCGCCGGAAACGTCACCTCTTCAATGGAGATCGCCACCCCCGGAAATGCCACCTTTTCAATGGAGAACGCCACCGGTACCTCCTCCGCCACTCTTGGGCATTCCAGTTGGTCTCCGATCGAAGCGCCCAGCTGCAGCCATGGACTACACGGTGTCCCGGAGAAATTTCTCGGTCATGGCAGCAGCAGCAGCGGCTGCGTCTGATGATTCATATGAAGAGAAGGAAGAGTCGGAGACGTCGAGTGTGGCAGCATCAGCTATGGCCATTGCTGCTTGTAGAAGCAAGAGAAAGAAGAGTGGGGGTTTGGTAGAGGGTTATAAGATGCTAGCTGAGTCAATAGGAAAGTTTTCGGAGATATATGAAAGAGTAGAAAAGGCAAAACAGAGGCAAATGATTGAGTTGGAGAAGCAAAGAATGCAATTTGCAAAGGACTTGGAGATACAGAGAATGAAGCTGATTATGGAGTCACAAGTGCACCTTGAGAAGCTTAAACGCTCTAAACCGCAGTTCAGAAGATGGTGAGTGACTCTTTCTTGTTTTTTTTCTTCATTCTATGTGATTTAGATTCATATAAGTGCCTGTGCATGTATCCTATGTTGCTGTAGCAACCCAAAAATGCCGAGATCCTCCAAAAGTAGTGCATTTTTGGAGGGTCTGAGCAATACACCATGTATCTATGTGTGCAGTCTTTGAATGTAAAAGGAGGGCATTTACATCCAATCTAGTTTGGAATTGATATAGCTGAACCTGACCTCGTTTGGGATTGAGGGATTGTTGATTGTTATTAACTTTGCATCTTTACTTTCCAGAAATACGAATACCTTTCCTTTTTAAGTGTCCTTATTAGTTGATATACCATCTTTGTTGGATTTGTCAATTATTAGGTATTGACTATTGATGGTATGATCCTCTAGCAGCTGTTAATTCATTGTATCTGGTTTCTGAGGTTCCTTAAATTTACTTTAATCTTTGTGGTTTGGAGTTTTCGAGGGGAGGGGAAATTTTGACTCATTGAGTTAGTTTACCTCAAATCTTGTTTCTCCATTATGATAACTCTCCCCTGGACATGCAATTTGTGGAAGTCTTTTTCATGGCTAATCGTAACCTGAAAAGATCTTAAGATGCAGGGAAATTAAGAATTCCTAGGAGCTAGTGGCTTCCCTTCAATCTTTAATTGTGCTAGAAACAATGTAGTGAAGTTGAAAATGATCGGAAGGGCTTCGGCTAATCAAGGAGATGGGAACTAGGGTTTCTCCTGGGGTTGTGAACTCGACTGTCTTTGCTGAATAAATCTCAATTATGTCTCGGTGAGATAGTTGATGCAGAGCTATTTCATTTCTGCGATATCTTATAAAAGTTACTCATGTAAACTCACTCACTATGAAATAAGGCAAATATTGAGGCTATCTTTCCGAGTCATGTCTGTGTTAAACTAGCGGTTACGCTAAAACTGCAGATGGGCACTTCTGAATGAGCTATAAATACGCTAAAACTGCAGATGGGCACTTCTGAATGAGCTATAAAACATTACATATGAAGTTAATTGGTGTGCATATGAGACAATTGTTTTTTCCATTTCTGCTGCCTTTTCTCTTTTCTTTTGAATGGTGGTCAGCTAATTACTCTGTGTTCTTGGTGCTCAGATAATTGCTTGTAGATGGAGGGTGGTGGCATGCTCTAGAATCTTAGGCGGGGATGTTTATGCAAGCCATATACATACATATATATTTTCTTTAGCGTCTTAATTCTGCTACTTTGAAGATGAATTACAGATGTTAGTTCCACGCTTGGTCGTTGCTCAAGAACTTGTATCTAGCTGCTTAAAATCTGGAGTAATTTTGTAACTTATCTTTCTCTATTACATGTTTTTTGCACTCCAGCTAGGTGAAAATGTAGACTTGAGACTTACTTTACCGTGCTCCTAGTTATATATTATTCTAAGCTTCAAGCTGTTGATGATGACTCTCTATGCACTAAGTGGATGCATGAAGGTTTAAACTTTAGTACACTGGATTGTGACCATAGTTTGTGTTCTTTTTGGACAGCAAAAAATATAAATATTTTCATAATCCCGAACATACAGAAAACTTCTCAGACCCTACTTGTGAAATTACTTTGGATATGTGTTGTAATGAGGAACCTACAGAAAACATTCAAGTTCATGAGAAAAATATTGTAACATGGATTGTTGCGTAAAATGCCTGAGACTCACTGCC